CTCGGGAGGCTTTTTCAGTTCATTCAATTTGCTTTTGTATAATGTTATTATTATTAGCAGTATTATTTATTATATCCATATTTATATTTGTTTTATTAAAAACAAGATTAGATTTGCCCACCTGTCAGGTTTTAGACCATATGGGGCACAGCATGTGTTTTAGGATATAACTCAGGTTTTTGAGCACACTTCATTATTATTGTTCATTTATTCGTTTGCTGGAAATTAGAACTGAATTTAGAAATAGTTTTGAAACAAATATTTGTGCTTAACAAGCGAAATTAATTATTTATAGACTAACTGATGTCTGTGCGCACAAGGTTTCCCTATCCAAGAGAGCGAAAGTGAAAGTTATTCATTTATCTCTCATTCTCGCGCTGTAGATGCTCATTTTAAACGTTTTCTTGCTCGTGAAATGTTCAGTTTTTCCACTTACACTTACTCTACGTCATGTGAATAGCAAATGCGTATGGCGCGACGCAACTGGTTCTTAAAGGGAATGGGAGATGAGACTCTGATTGGTTTATTCTCAAAACACACCTATAACTCATTAAGAAAATAAACTCAACCCTTTTAGACCATGTGCCACGGCGCAAAGCGGATCTTCCCGTCCTTAAAATAGCAAAAGTGGATTCTGACACGCCTTTAATGCGTTTGCGTCCTGCACATGGACCGTCAAAATAGAGCCCTTAGGCTTTAAATTGGCCAACACACTTTAAAAAATAAGTCTTTCTTAACAAATTAAATTAAAATAAATTTAAAATTATGATGGGGCTGCACTCCCTGTGTTGGTGTGGGTTTCCTCCGGGTGCTCCGGTTTCCCCCACAAGTCCAAAAACTATACTGAGGTATAGAGGAATTGAATAAACTAAAACTGGCTGTAATGTGTAAGTGTGTGGGTGTTTCCCAGTGTTGGGTTTTGCGTTGGAAGGGCATCCGCTGCATTAAACATATTCCGGATAAGTTGGCGGTTCATTCCGCTGTGGCGACCCCTGATTAATAAAGGGACTAAGCTGAAAAGAAAATGAATAAATATATACTAGTATTCAGCTTAAAGTGACATTTAAAGGCTTTACTAGGGTAATTAGGGTAAAGTTAGGGTAATTAGGCAAGCCATTGTATAACAGTGTTTTTTGTGGAGACAATCCAAAACTAATGTTGCTTAAGGAGGATAATAATATTGACCTTAAAATGGCTTTAAAAGTGCTTTTATTCTGGCTAAAATAAAACAAATTAGACTTTCTTCAGAAGAAAAAATATTATAGGAAATACTGTGAAAAATTCCTGAATCTGTTCAACATCATTTGGGAAACATTTGAAGAAGAAACCAAAAATCACAGAACTTCAACAGTATATATATTCTCCATTCAACAGCACTAGGGAAATATTTTATAATAAAATAAGAATCAACATTTGGGTCATCAGTGACCTTTCTCTTTAATTCCTCTAATAACAGGATCTGATTGTGGGTCGTGACTTGCAGAAGTCGCCTGATAGACTATAAAACATCCCATCACAATATAAAGATAGTTTTGTCATCATTAGAAATTCTCAAAACAATAGAAAGTAAAGGGTGCTCATTCATTGTGAGCGCCAGGGAGAGGCTTTCCTGCTGGAGCAGTCAATACGATGAAGTCATTAGAATTAATAGGCAGTTTAATACAGCAGAGGTCAAAAGTTCGGGATTATTGAAATGTCTTAAAATGTACATTTGCTTTATTTAAAGTGCAGTAAAAATGTGAAATATTTTGTTCTTTAAAATAACCATTTTTAAGTCTGAGTATCTTTTAAAACGTAATTTATTTTTTTGATTTAAAGCTGATTTTTTAGCATCATTACTGCACTATTTAAAGTTACAGGTGATAACTAGTATCAGTGTTAAAAAGTGCTGCTGTTTTATAAATCTGTGATATACATACAGTATTATTTTTCAGGATTTTTTTTATTAAAAAAAAAAAACTAGTTTCAAAATGTTATAATTTTTTTTTGAAGCATTATTTTATGGGGGTTTTCACCTTTATTGTATAGGACAGTATAGAGTATTGAAAGCAGAGGGAGGGGAAGGATCGGCAAAGACCCGAGGAATCAAACTTGGGTCGCCATGATCACCAGAGTGCATGTGTCTACACACTAACCACTACACCACTGGTGCCGACAAAATGTTTTCAATTCAATGGGTCCTCATTTAATTATAATTATTATTATTAATAGTAGTAGTAGTAGCAGTAGTATGTCCTTACCTCAAACATGAATACATTCATTCATTTTCGGCTTATTCCCTTTATTAATCTGGGGTTGCCACCGTGAAATGAACCACCAACTTATTCAGCATATGTTTTACGCAGCGCATGCCCTTCCAGCTGCAACCCATCACTGGGAAACACCCATACACTCTCATTCATACACATACACTAAGGACAATTTTAGCTTACCCAATTCACCTGTACCGCATGTGTTTGGACTTGTGGGGGAAACCAGAGGAAACCAACGCCAACACAGGGAGAACATGCAAACTCCACACAGAAACGTCATCTGACCCAGACGAGGCTCGAACCAGCGACCTTTTTGCTGTGAGGCGACAGCACTACCTACTGCGCCACCGCGTCGCCCACACATTATACAGTATATGATATTTTAATTAACATGTAAACAAAAATGTTTCATTTGATAAAGAATTATTTGCAGCATGATACTGTTATAACTCGTTACTGTTATTTAATGCATCCTTAATGAATTATAGATAACATAATATTATAAATATTTACATAAATAATAATAATAATGATATATTTGGGGACACGGTGGGTCGGTGGTTAGCACTGTGGCCTCACAGCAAGAAGGTCACTGCTTCGAGCCCCGGCTGGGTCTGTTGGCATTTCAGTGTGGAGTTTGCATGTTCCCCCCAAGATGGTGTGGGTTTCCTCCAGGTGCTCCGGTTTTCCCTACAGTCCAAAGACATGCGCTATAGGGGAATTGATGAGAGGGGTCTGGCAGCAGATGCAATCTGAGCTGCATGCAATGATTTTGAATGTGCTCACCTAACCCCACCCCTAACCCTACCCCTTATAGTGACGTCACTAGCTCCATTGTGTCTGAGATTGCATCTCTGAGATATGCAGACTCAGCTTGCATCATAAAGGCTGCATCCAGATACTGTTGGAATTGATGAACTAAATTGGCTGTATGAGTGTGTGTGAGTGAATGGGTATTTCCCATTACTGAGTTGTGGCTGGAAGGGCATCCGTTGTGTAAATCATATGCTGGAATAGTTGGTGGTTCATTCCGCTGTGGTGACCCGTAATAAATAAAGGGAATAAGCAGAAGGAAAATCCTAACCACTGAGCCACCGTGCCGCCAGCTTGAATCACAGTTTTCACAAAAATATGAATTATTCAAATTATATTTTAATGATTTCTGAAGGATCCTGTAGCATAGCAGACCTAAAAAATCAGCTTTGCATCACATAAATAAATGATATTTCACAGTATATTCACACAGACAATGCTTATTTTAAAGAGCCCCTGTTTTGCATTATAAAAGGTTATATTTTGGTTTTAGGGGTCTCCAACAACAGGCTGATATGCGTGCGTCTTATAATATGCATTTATTTTTACCTAATTATTCCAACAACTCCCATATGATCTGTTCAGCGATTCATTTGTTCCCAAACCCCTCCTTCATGCGAAGCTAATCTGAGCTGATTGGACTGATGACCCAGTCTGTTGCGAGACAGAGAGAAAAGCCCACCACGGCTATGAAATAGCAGCCAGAGAGCATGTGAGAGCCCAATGCAGGAATGCAATAAATCAATGCAGGTAAACAACAGCATATTCTCTACTCTTAACCCTAACCCCAAGCAATAACAACGACACACATTCAGTGTTAATCCACACCGTGGCAAAAGTCGAACTATTTTGAAAATTGACCGCGCCGCGTGTGAGGAACAGCTGATGGTGGCCATAGCAAAGGCAAACATAGCATTGCCAGTTCAGAAACGCATTTAAATCAGTAAAGGATGAAGCACGCGTCACGTTTTTAACGTGGTTTTGGACGTGATATGTGAACAGCCCCATACAGATTCAACCTGAGAGATACAGTACAAGCACTGATCTATAATAGATATGTGATTACAAGCCGTGCGGGAGGATCACAACTTATAACTACACAAAACGAGGCAATAATTTTAATGACTCTTACATGTTATGATTCGGAGGAAGAAGAAACTGCCATATGAACTGTAAAGTCCCTGACAAAGCCTGACAAAGTCTCATAGTCTCTGCTGCTCCTTTAATAGCAAACGGCCGGCGAATCCAATAGTATCTGCATGCAGCCTTTATGATGCAAGCTGAGACTGCATCACTCAGCGATGCAATGTCAGACACAATGCACTCAATGGAGTGAGTGACGTCACTGTGACGGGTAGGGTTAGGGGTGGGGTTAGGTAAGCGCATTAAAAAGCATTGGATGCAGCCCAGATTGCACTGCACCATGTCTGCAGCCAGACCCCTCTCGGCAAATCCTGCACTGCAGTGTAGGTTATTGTATTAAAAATCAGAAAAATGACAGGAACAAACACAGCACACGGTTGGCTATACTGTGGTGTTGTTGTGAAATTAATTAAATATTGTTGTAAAAAATTAATATTAATCCACTTAGTGCTGTCTTACACACTGCATGGAAAGTCATTTTCAAAACTCATAATAGGAGCTCTTTAAATGGTAAAATATTTTCAAATATTTTACATTTTTTGCTATATTTTTCATCAAAATAAACAGCCTCACTGAGCAGAAAAGCCTTTCAAAAACTATATATATATATATATATATATATATATATATATAATCCTGTGTATTGCAGAGTTCCAGAAATAAATCGGATTTATTTACAAACCTAATATTGATCATATATGCTGCATTATGATTAACAGAGGTTGCCAAAAATCCTGTTTTAATGCAAAATGATGTGTGTTGATTTAATATTTGTGATTTGCTCTCTGACAGACTGGTGCTACCAGACACAAGTGAGCTGTGATTCCCACTGTAAAGGTGAGCATGAGTTTATTAATGTTCAGTTCTGCTGTCTCGTTGAGGGAAAGTTATCATATTTAATTACGTTATATTCAATATAATATTTTTCTTTCTAGTTTTATCTTAATCATGAATACATTTTCATAGTTGTTTGAGTTTACGACCTTTTTTTTCTTGCTTCTTCTTAGAGGATGTCCTAGATAAGCACCCAGTGGTTATTTTATATTGCATTATTTGCAGGGATTCACAGGGCTTTAACCGTAATTGTAAATAACTTGTGGAAAGGACGCATTAAATTTACATTTTTGGTGACCGGGTCACCAATTAATTAATTAATTAATTAAAAAATAAAAATAATAATAAAATAATGAAATAATAAAATAATAAAAATAATAATTAATTAATTAATTAATGTCAGTGATTCAATGATTAGAGTCACTTAGTCACTTGCTGTGCTTGCAAATGAATCAGCATTTGAACTAATCTGTTTCTGAGTGAATCATTTGAGTCAGTGATTCAATGATTCATTCACAAAAAAAGTCACTTAAACACTTGCCGTGTCTGCAAATGTTTCAGTGTTTTGAATGAGGTTGTTTCTGATTGAATCATTTGAGTCAGCGATCCAATGATTCATTCATAAAGAGAGCCGCTTAGTCACTTGCTGTCCTTATAAATGAATCAGCATTTTGAAATAATCATTTGAGTCAGTGATTCAAAGATTCATTCATAAAAGAAAGTCATTAGTCAATTGCTGTCCTTGTAAATGAATCAGCATTTTAAATGAATCTGTTTCTGAATAAATCATTTGAGTCAGTGATTCAATAATTTTTTTCCAGAAAAAAAAAGAGTAATTTAGTAACTTGCTGTCCTTGTAAATGAATCAGAGTTTTGAATGAATGATTTAAGGCAAAAATTCAATGATTCATTCATTAAGAGAGTCACTTAGTCACTTGCTGTCCCTGTAAATGAATCAGCATTTTGAATGAATTTGTTTCTGAGTGAATCATTTGAGTCAATATTTAAATGATTCATTCATAAAGAAAGTCACACAGTCACTTACTGTGCTTGTAAATGAATCAGCATTTTGAATAAATCAGTTTCTAAATAAATCATTTGAGTCAGTGATTCAATTATTCATTCATAAAGGGTCATTTAGTCACTTGCTGTCCTAGTAATTGTATCAGCATTTTGATTCAATGATTCATTCATAAAGAGAGTCACAGAGTCACACTTGTAAATGAATCAGCATTTTAACTAATCTGTTTCTGAGTGAATCATTTGAGTCAGTGATTCAATGATTGATCAATGATTAGTCACTTGCTGTGTTTGTAATAGTTTGAATGAATAAATCTGTTTAAACTAATTGTGAATGAATGATTCGGTCATAAAAAGAGTCACTTGCGGTGTTTGTTAATGAATCAGCATTTGAGTGAATCTGTTTCTGAATGAATCTTTTGAGTCTGTGATTAAATGATTCATTCATAAAGAGCCATTTAGTCACTTGCTGTGGTTGTAATGGTTTGAATGAATGAATCCGTTTCTGAGTGAATCATGAGTCAGTGAATCAATGTTTCATTCAAAGAGGAAGTCAGTCACTTGCTGTGTTTGTAATGGTTTGAATGAATGAATCTTTTTGAATGAATCGTGAATAAATAAATCTGTTTGAATTAACTGTAAAGAAATGAATCACTTGAGTCAGTGATGCAATTGTTAATTCATAAAGAGAGTCACTTAGTCACTTGCTGTGTCTGTAATGGTTTAAATAAACGAATCTCTTTGAATGAATCGTGGATGCATGAACCTGTTTGAATTAATTGTAAATGAATGAATGAATTGAATAATTATTAACAAAATAAGTCGGGATCACAAGAAAACAAGACCGAACTGGCCTCTCAAGACTTCCGTACTTATTTACAGAAGCAAAAATCAGTCTAATATTGCGTCTGCATGTTTTTCTCAGGTCCAGAGAAATGGAGAGAAGTCAATGCAGACTGCGGGAAGGACAGACAGTCACCCATAAACATAGTGACCAAGCAAACCAAGCTGGACGAGCGATTGACACCTTTCAGATTCACTGGATACCAGACCGTGTTCGATGGCACATTGAAGAACAATGGACACTCGGGTCAGTGATTCAATGATTCATTCATAGGCTCACTTGGTCACTTGTTGTGTTTGTATTGACTGAATCTGCTTCAGAGCAAATCATTTGAGTCAGTGTTTCAATGATTCATTCATAAAGTCACTTAGTCACTTGCTTTGTTTGTAAAAGAACCAGCGACTTGAATGTATCTGCTACTGAATGAATCATATGGGTCAGTGACACGATTCATTCATAATCACTTGGTTACTTGCTGTGTTTGCAATGGTTTGAATGAATGCTTCTGTTTGAATAAATTGTGAATGAATGAATTATTTAAGTAAGCGATTCAATGATTTAGTCATAAAGAAAGTCACTTGCTGTGTTCGTTAATGAATCATTGTTTGAGTGAATCTGTTTCTGAGTGAATCATTTGAGTCAGTGATATAATGATTCAGTCATAAAGAGAGTTACTTAGTCACTTGCTGTGTTTGTAATGGTTTTCTCTTTGAATTAATCTGTTTGGATGAATTGTAAATAAATGAATCATTTGAGTCAATAACTCAATGATTCCTTCATAAAGAGAGTAAATTATTAGTCACTTGCTGTGTCTGTAAATAAATCAGCATTTTGAATGACTTAGTTTCATTCATTAAGAGTCGCTTAGTCACTTGCTGTTCTTGTAAATGAAGTATCATTTTGAATGAATCATTTGAGTCAGTGAATCAATGATTCATTGATAAAGAGAGTCATTAGTCACTTGCTGTCCTTGTAAATGAATCAGCATTTTGAATGAATCACTTTTTGAATGAATTATTTAAGTCAATAATTCAATGATTTATTCATAAAGAGAGTCACGCAGTCACGTGCTGTCTTTGTAAATGTATCAGCATTTTTAATGAATTGGTTTCATTTGAGTCACTTGCTATAAATGAATTAATCTGTTTGAATGAATCATGAATGAATGAATCAATTTCAGTGAATCATGAATGAATGAAATTTTTAAGCTCAATGATTCATTCATAAAGCAAGTCACTTAGTTACTTCATGTGTTTGTTAATAAATAAATCAGTATTTTGAATGGATCTGTTTTTGGGTGAATCATTTGAGTAAGCGATCCAATGATTCATTCATAAAGAGAGTCACGTAGTCAGTTGTTGTTCTTGTAAATGAATCAGCATTTTAAATGAATAATTTGAGTCAGTGATTCAATTATTCATTCATAAAGAGAGTCATTAGTCACTTGCTGTCCCTGTAAATGAATCAGTGTTTTGAACGAATTTTTTTCTTAGTGAATCATTTGAGTCAATAAATCAATGATTCATTCATAAAGAAAGTCACACAGTCACTTGCTGTCCTTGTAAATTAATCAGCATTTTTAAATTAATATTTAAATTAATCATTTGACTCAGTGATTCAATGATTCATTTTTAAATGAGATTCATTAGTCACTTGCTGTCCTTGTAAATGAATCAGCATTTTGAATGAATCATTTGAGTCAGTGATTCAATGATTCATTCATAAAGAGGGTCACACAGTCACGTGCTGTCCTTGTAAATGAATCAGCAATTTGAAATAATCATTTGAGTCAGTGATTCAATGATTCATTCATAAAGAGAGTCAGTTAGTCACTTGCTGTCCTTGTAAATGAATCAGCATTTTGAATGAATCTGTTTCTGAGTGAATCCCTCTTGAATAGGGATGTAACGGTATCAGAATTTCACGGTACGGTAATACCTCGGTATGAATGTCACGGTACGGTATTTATTGAATCATTTACAGGAAAAAAAAAACTTTTGAAAATACTCCAAAAAAGTGCCAAAAGTGTCAATGACATACAAATTAGCCATCTATCTGTTAGCTTTGAAACAGGAACTTCAATTTTAATAACAAAAAATTATTAAACCATGTAAAAAAATAAAGTTTCAATTTAGTATTGTTGAAAACTCATCACATTTAACATTTAATCACTCACTTAGATAGAGATGGGTTTAAAGGAAAATTATCATATAAATATAATCTGGTAAAAGCTGGTATCTCTGGGTATTTACAATGTCCCCTGCAACAGAAAAAAACCCTCTCATTTGGGACTGAGGTTTCTGGGACAAGAGAGATATGACTTGGCCCATGTTGACAGCAGTGGGTAACGTTGTGCATTGTCTTTCCCCCACTTGAGAGGACAAACCATGAGTGAGATAGAGATCTCTTTGCGGTACAAGTCAATGTCTGCATCAATCTGAACAGTGTGCTGTGTTTCTGCAGTCCCCATGACTGTTATTAGTCGTATTCCCCAACTTGCAGGCACGTGCACACATAGGGCTCAACCTGTGCAGTGCACATGCCCTTTTTAGTCTTGGATAGAAAATGCCCTTCCAAAACGATCAAAAGTGCCCCCGCGACGCGACACAACCTCCGTCCAGTCCAGCCCTTCAGTAGGCGCGCGAAAACACCTCTCTTGAGTATGCGCGCTCAACCCCCCCTCGGCGCTTTACAATACGCGCGCCACAACACAGCTGATCAGAACGCGCGCGACAGCACCGCTATTCAGCACGCGCGCGGCGACAACACCCGCTTTAGGTTCGATCATTTCCATCTTTTTTTCATCTCCGCTACTAGCAGCACACTCCATTTCCGCATTACTGGATCTGTAGCGACAACAGACCGCAAAGGATTATGGCCACGCCGGGGCTGATGGGAAATGAAGTTTCAGCTACCTCCCGTTCGCTTCATTCGCCTGAGCAAATTTTCTCAGAAGACCTATAGTTTTACCGAGTCATGCGACTTCGGTAATATCGAAAAAATTTAATATGACGGTATGACGGTATGGTTTGTCCTCTCAAGTATGACGGTATTTACAATACCGTTACATCCCTACTCTTGAATGGCTGACTTTAGCTGTTTTCTCTCTGTAATGACTGCGGTTTTATCGTCTTTGCTTCAGTTCAGGTCAGTATTCCTGTCCCAGCCACTATTTCTGGAGGAAATCTGGCAGAACCATATAAAGCTGTGCAGTTTCACCTGCACTGGGGCATCAGCAGCGGCCCAGGCTCTGAACACACCATTGATGGAGAGCAGTATCCAATGGAGGTCAGAACAAAAACCTTATTCATCTGCATTCGTAAAGACAGAGCTGTCATAAGCTCAGGGGTTGTTAATAGAGGGCTTTTGCTTTGTTGATCCCACGTGTTCACATTGAATCAACTTATTTTTACACCAATCATGTTAAAGTGACTTTTTTCAAGATGTAAAATAAGATTCTGAGCGCGATTGTGCTTTGTTTTTCTAAAAAAAATTTTTAAAAATTTTTCTAGAACTTATACATTTGGCCTACTAATTTTTGAACCGATATTCTAAGTTATTTTGCTATATTAGCTCCAGATTTGGCTTCAGTACTTACTAATCTAATGTATATGCACAAATATAATATTGTATAGCTTCCTATAGAAAATATTCATTTAAGTGAGAGATTTGTTGAGGGCATACTTATATATGCAGAGCACTATATATATATATATATTTAACTTTTGTAAACAGCAAAAAATGCTAAACATCACATGAGAAAACTATTACAACATATTAAAATGTAAAATAAATAGTTGAAGTCAGAATTATTAGTGCCCCTGAGTTATTAGCCAATAATATAATTAAATATGATAACTTTCCCTCAACGAGACAACAGAACTGAACATTAATAAACTCATGCTCACCTTTACAGTGGGAATCACAGCTCACTTGTGTCTGGTAGCACCAGTCTGTCAGAGAGCAAATCACAAATATTAAATACACACACATCATTTTGCATTAAAACATGATTTTTGGCAACCTCTGTTAATCATTGTGCAGCATATATGATCAATATTAGGTTTGTAAATAAATCAGATTTATTTATGGAACTCTGTAATACACAGGATTATAATAATTGTTATTATTTTATTATTATATAGTGAAGTCAGAATTATTCGCCCCCTGTTTATTTTTTCCCCTTTTTCTGTTTAAAGGAGAGCAGATTTCTTCAACACATTTCTAAACATAATAGTTTTAATAACTCATCTCTAATAACTGATTTATTTTATCTTTGTCATGATGACAGTAAATAATATTAGACTAGATATTCTTCAAGACACTTCTATACAGCTTAAAGTGGCATTTAAAGGCTTAACTAGGTTAATTAGGGTAACTAGGCAGGTTAGGGTAATTAGGCAAGTTATTGTATAATGATGGTTTGTTCTGTAGACTAGCGGAGAACAAATATTGCTTAAAAGGGCTGATAATATTGACCTTAAAATGGCTTTAAAAAAAAAAAAACTGCTTTTATTCTGGCCAAAATAAAACAAATAAGACTTTCCCCAGAAGAAAAATTATTATTAGGCATACTCTGGAAATGTCCTTGCTCTGTTAAACATCATTTGGAAAATTTATAAAAAACAATATACAAAGGGGGGGCTAATAGTTCTGACTTCAACTATATATTTCAAAGCATATATTTCAAATATGTAATGTAATGTGTATTTATTTAGCGCATTTATTGTGTATGGTCATACACCCAAAGCGCTTCACAATCTCTCCACACGACCACCAGTGTGCAGCACTTGGATGATGCAACGGCTGCCACAGGACAACGGCGCCAATGTGCTCACCACACACCAGCTATTGGTGCAGTGGAGAGACAGTGATAGAGCCAATTCAGTGGATGGGGATGATTGGGAGGCCATGCTATATTTCAAATATATTTTTAAAACATGGCCAATTCAAATGCTATGAATGTATTACATGAGATGTTATATAAAACTTTTAATGTGAATAACACACAAAGAAACACGGTCATACTTCATGTCAGTTTTGCTTCTTCAGTTTTCAGCTGGCATATTATTGTTAGTTTACAGAAATATTAAGCTATTTTTAAAGAAAAACATTGAATCGTGAAAGTCAAGCATTGCATTGAAATATGATTCGAAAAAAGAGACTAATCTACCATTGTTATTCCATTTGCTTTAATTTGTTCCTACACACCTTTAATTGCATTTTAATGAACTGAGACCACATTTGATTTACATAATGAATTACATTAATATCTCTTTACACTCTAAAAAATGCTGGGTTATTTCAACCCAATTCTGGGTGTAACACTGACTAAACCAGCTCGTGGGTTCTGAATTAAATTAATAAGACCAATGTGTGTCCTTATTTTACCATTTGGGTTTAAATAAGCCAGCATCTGTTAGAGTGTACTGTTAAAATAAGGATTAATTCATTTTCCTTCAGTTTAGTGCCGTATTTATCGCCACAGGGGAATGAACCACCTAGGATTAATCAACATAAGCATATTATTATTATTATTATTAAAAAACATATAAACAAATGGGCAACACAGTGGCACAGTAGGTAGTGCTGTCGCCTCACAGCAAGAAGGTCGCTGGTTTGAGCCTTGGCTTGGTCAGTTGGCGTTTCAGTGTGGAGTTTGCATGTTCTCCCCGCATTCACGTGGGTTTCCTCTGGGTGCTCTGGTTTCCCCCACAGTCCAAACACATGCGCTACAGCTGAATTGGGTAGGCTAAATTATCCGAAGTGTATGAGTGTGAATGAGTGTGAATTTGTGTGTATGGATGTTTCCCAGAGATGTGTAAAACATATGCTGGATAATTTGGTGGTTCATTCCGCTGTGGCGACCCTGGAATAATAAAGGGACTAAGCCAAAAATAAAATGAATGAATGAATTTAAATAAAGTCTCATTTTCCTGTCTCGCCAGCTGCACATTGTGCACATGAAGCAGAAATACATCCGGATTGAAGACGCTCTCAAAGACCCGTCTGGAGTGGCTGTGCTGGGATTTTTCTATGAGGTCTGATCTGTTTCAGCTTTAAAATGAATGAATTAAAGTTTCTGATGTTATATTTTGACTTTATACTATCGTCATTGCTATCTGGCAGGTGTCCAGCACCACAAACAGAAAATATGACCTGTTCGCACACGCACTGCGCAGCGTACAGAACACAAGTAAGACCAGATATTACACACTTTTATTACAGCATTTTTTTCCACAATGTTTATTATTATGCTTTGCGTTCAGTTTTTACATATTAAAATAATTATAATATGACTTGGTTTAAATACATGCATTTCATATACTTGTGCATATATTTGCATGCAAAAATGCTGATGCTGCAAAAATACATTATAATGATTTCCGAATGATTATGACTGGAGTAATGATGCTGAATATTCAGCATTTTATCACAGAAATAAATTACAATTTACAATATATTCATTTACAAAATAGTTATTTTAATTTGTAATAATATATAAGAATATTACTGTTTTCGTTGTATTTTTGAAAACATAAATGCACTAAATAAATCAAGGCATAAAGTGACATTTATAATTTTACAAAAGATTAATGTTTCAAATAAAACTTTGTAATAATGAAAAAAAAAAAAATGTCACAATTTCCCAAAAAAATTAATGAGCATTGATACTAATCAGGAATGTTATTTTAATTAACATATTATAATGATTTCTTAATGATCACATGACTCTGAAGACTGAAGTAATGATGCTAAAAATGCAGCTTTTCATCACAGAATTATATGACAGTTTACAATATATTCATTCAGAAAAATGTTATGTTAAATTGCAATAATATTTTACATTATTGTTATTTTACTGTATTATTGAATAAATAAGTTTTATTAATAAAAAAATAAGTCACAATTTCCAGAACAAACGAAGGAGCAACTGTTTTCAATTATAATAACAATCATCATCAGGGCTTAATTTGTGTGAGGGCACCTCATATTACCCCTCCTCAACCACCCTCCTCCCCCATCCGCTGTTCACATTTACTTTTTTCCGCAACTCCCCAACCCTTTTCCCTTTCGTCCGCGACAACCCTGCTGCTCTTTACCATGGTCCGCAACTTGGCCGGATCCGTTACCCCGATCTGTTCCGGGACCTCGCAATTCACAAATTAAACACTGATAATAATAATATAATGAAGGCTAGCCAGCTAGTGAAGTGCTATGCAGGTAAACCTCACTCCTCTGACCTCAAAAGGTGTTCTGGCGACATTAGAGGCCATGGTCTTTAGTCTCCTTGTTAGATCAACCGACCCCCATCAAAGAACCACTGTATCGATTACCGGTGCAGTAGGACCGGTGGGTTACAATAATAATAATAATAATAATGATAATAATAATAATAATACAGGTTATTTTAATCATCAAATCATATTAATATTTCACAATATGACAGTTTTTATCATGTTTTTAATGAATAAATGCAGCCTGCAGATATTCAAAAACATATGACTGTTGCAAAAACCTCAAATTTCAGAACACTAAGATCTATTAGAAATATTTATCATCTGTTTTTCTCTATTTTTTCAGCTAGTGACATCACTGTAAGGGGTGGGGTTAGGGGTGGGGTTAGGTGAGCACATTAAAAAGCATTGAATGCAGCTCAGATTGCATCTGCACCGAGTCTGCAGGCAGACCCCTCTCCATCTAAATAACTGTTTTCATACACACAGATGGCAACACGACTCTTCGTAAGATCTCTCTGAATCAGCTCATCCTGCCTGAAGTGAACATGACCAATTATTACCGGTATGACGGGTCACTGACCACACCGGGATGCACCGAGGCTGTGGTGTGGACGGTGTTTGAAAAGCCCATTCCCCTGGACAGTGAACAGGTACTGAAACACTGATACCGCCTACACACATTATTCACACACTTACTGTTTACCGGAGTGTGCTTTTGTGCTGCTCTTGACTGGTTTTAATAATTGATTTATTGATTTCGTCAACTATTCATCATCTACTCAACATTTACTCGTCAATTACTCGTCATTTACTCAATTACTCATCGATTGCTCAACATTTACTTAACTATTCGTCATTTACGCAATTGCTTGTCAATTATGGGTCATTAACTCAATTACTCATTATCTACTCATCAATTACTCTTCATTTAGTTGTCTTGTTGTTTACTCAATCACTTGTAATTTACTTAATTACTTGTGATTTACTTGACATTTAGATTTACTCGTCATTCACTCAATTACTTGTGTTTTACTAGACATTAAGATTTACTCGTCATTTACTCAATTACTTGTCCATTACGAGTCATTTACTCAATTACTCATCATCTACTCATCAAATACTTGTCAATTACACATCATTTAGTTGTCTTGTCATTTACTCAATTACCCATCATCTACTTAATTTCTTGTCCATTTCGGTCATTTACTCAATTATTAATCATCTACTCATCAATTACTCGTCAATTGCTCTTCAATTAGTTGTTTGTCATTTACTCAATTACTCATCATTTACTCACGTACTCGTACATTACGGGACATTTACTCAACTATTAATCATCTATTCATCAATTACTCGTCAATTGCTCTTCAATTAGTTGTTTGTCATTTACTCATTTACTCATCATTTACTCAAGTACTCGTACATTACGGGACATTTACTCAACTATTAATCATCTATTCATCAATTACTCTTCAATTGCTCTTTAATTAGTTGTTTGTCATTTACTCATCATTTACTCAATTAATTGTCTATTACGGGCAATTTACTCAATTACTTATCATCTACTCATCAATTACTATACATTTAGTTGTCTTGCAATTTACTCAATTACACATCATTTACTCAATTACTAGTCAATAATTTGTCATTTACTCAATTACTCATCATTTACTCAAGTACTCGTACATTACAGGTCATTTACTCAATTATTAATCATCTATTCATAAATTACTCGTCATTTACTCTTCATTTAGTTGTTAGTCATTTACTCAATTACTCATCATTTACTCAATAACTTGTCTATTACAGGCAATTTACTCAATTACTTCTCATCTACTCATCTATTACAATTCATTTAGTTGTCTTGCAATTTACTCAATTACTCATAATTTACTCAATTACTAGTCAATCATTTATCATTAACTTAATTATTCATCATTTACTCAATTACTCATACATTAAGGGTCATTTACTCAATTATTAATAATCTATTCATCAATTACTAGTCAATTGCTTTTCAATTAGTTGTTTGTCATTTACTCAATTACTCATACATTACAGGGCATTTACTCAATTACTAATTATCTATTCATCAATTACTCGTCAATTATTCTTCATTTAGTTGTTTGTCATTTACTCAATTACCCATCATCTACTCAATTACTTGTCTATTATGGACAATTCACTAAATACTTCTCATCTACTCATCAATTACTATTCATTTAGTTGTCTTGCAATGTCATTTACTTAATTACTCATCATTTACTCAATCACTTGTGATTTACCTGTCATTTAGATTTACTCTGCATTTACTCACCATTTCATAGTTTACTCGCCATTTACTTAACTACTTGTTATTTAAATTTACTACTCATTTACTTGACATTTACTCAAATTTTTGTCATCTACTTAATTGCTGATGAGTATTTGAGTAAAGGACGAGTATTTGAGTAAATGATGCTCATCAATTACCTGTAACTTACTCAATTACTCATCAATTACTTCTCATTTACTCAACTACTCTTCAATTACTTCTCATTTACTCAAATTATCATAATTTACTTACTCGAATTTACTTGTGATTTACGTGCCATTTATTCAATTACTCGTCATTTACTCAATTACTCACCATTTGCTCAATTACTCCTCATTTACTTGTCATTTACTCAATTACTCACCATTTACTTAATTATCCTTCATTTACTTGTCATTTAGATTTGCTTGTCATTTACTCAATTACTCATCATTTACTCATCAATTACTTCTCATCTACTCAAGTACTCTTTGATTACTTCTCATTTACTCAATTTGTCATCATTTACTTAATTACTCGCCATTTACTTAACTACTTTCATTTAAACTTTCAATTTTCAACTACGTCATTTACCTAATTACTCAACAATTACTTGTAATTTACTCAATATTTATCAATTACTTATTATTTATTTGTCATTTACTTGAATTTACTTGTGATTCACTTGTCATTTATTCAATTACTTGTCATTTACTCAATTACTCACCATTTACTCAATTACTCACAATTTACTCAATTACTCACCATTTATTCAATTATTTCTCATTTACTTGTCATTTAGATTTACTTGTCATTTACTCAATTACTTGTCATTTATGTCATCCACTCAGTTATTCATCAATTACTTGTCATTTACTCAATTTCTTAACAATTACTTGTAATTTACTCAATATTTATCAATTACTCATTATTTATTTGTCATTTACTTGAATTTACTTGTGATTCACTTGTCATTTATTCAATTACTTGTCATTTACTCAATTACTCACCATTTACTCAATTACTCACAATTTACTCAATTACTTGCCATTTATTCAATTATTTCTCATTTACTTGTCATTTAGATTTACTTGTCATTTACTCAATTACTTGTCATTTATGTCATCCACTCAGTTATTCATCAGTTACTTGTCATTTACTCAATTTCTTAACAATTACTTGTAATTTACTTAATATTTATCAATTACTCATCATTTATTTGTCATTTACTCGAATTTACTTGTGATTTACACGTAATTTATTCAATTACTTGTCATTTACTCAATTACTCACCATTTACTCACTCACAATTTACTCAATTACTCACCATTTATTCAATTATTCCTTATTTACTTGTAATTTAGATTTACTTGTCATTTACTTAATTACTTGTCATTTATGTCATCCACTCAGTTTATCACCAGTTACTTGTCATTTACTCAATTTCTCAACAATTACATGTAATTTACTCAATATTTATCAATTACTCATCATTTATATGTCATTTACTCAAATTCACTTGTGATTTACTTACCATTTATTCAATTACTTGTCATTTACTCAATTACTCAAAATTTACTCAATTACTCACAATTTACTCAATTATTCCTCATTTACTTGTCATTTACTTAATTACTTGTCATTTATGTCATCCACTCAGTTTATCATCAGTTACTTGTCATTTACTCAATTTCTCAACAATTACTTGTAATTTACTCAATATTTATCAATTACTCATCATTTATATGTCATTTACTCAAATTCACTTGTGATTTACTTGGCATTTATTCAATTACTTGTCATTTACTCAATTACTCACCATTTACTCAATTACTCACATTTTACTCAATTACTCACAATTTACTCAATTATTCCTCATTTACTTGTCATTTAGATTTACTTGTCACCTGTTTACTCAATTACTTGTCATTTATGTCATACACTCGGTTATTCATCAGTTACTTGTCATTTACTCAATTTCTTAACAATCACTCGTCATTTTTTCAATTACTCTTCCTTTGATCAATTATTTGTCGTTTACTCAATTTACCCATCAAATACTAGTCAGTTTACACATTGTTTACTCATTATTTACTCATCCTTAACTTTGTGTTTCTTCAACCAGCTTCAGGCTTTCTCCTCTCTGAAGTTTCGCGATGGGAAGCCGATGGTCGGAACGTTCAGACCCGTTCAGCCTCGTAACGGGCGAGTGGTTTATCGGTCCAGCGGTGGGACTTTATTGGTCAGTGTTTTCCTTCTGATGGCTTCCGTCAGCACAGCATTCACCATAACCAGACTCAACTAACTTCAACATTCCCAACCATCACCAGCACAATGAGTCCTCCACTCACCAGAGCACCAGCAGGACAACCACAGAATAAAAAATTACAGGAGCAGAACTGCATGAGTAGATGACCATAGCTCTCATAGCTGGACTAAAAACATCCGTGGAGCTCTGACGGCTAGAAAATGCATGACCTTTACTATTATAGATACACACACAGCAGTCTATATTTGTGAGGCCAAAGTGTTTTGATGTGCATTACAAACACTCACAACGATGATCAGCTCTCACAAACACTGATGACACTGAGGTCAAAGGTCAGTGAGTCAAATAGATAAGAGAGAAACCAGGCCAAGTAAACGCATTGCATTCATATAAACTAATTAACGTTATGGTCAGGGCTTGACATTAACTTTTTTGATCACCAGCCACTGTGGCTAGCAGTTTTCTAATGTTACTGGCCACTCTGCATTTTCACTAGCCACGATTTTGTTGTTGGGAAAATGCATTTTATATGCATAAATATGACTAAACCTACTTAATTTAGATTTTGTGTTATGTACACATGCCTCATTCATTTAAAGGTGCAGTAGGTGATCTGCCACAATGCTAACAGCTTAGCATAAATCTCTGAATTACAGTCCCTCCCCTGCCATCTAGAGCCACGCCTCCTGAAACACGAGCACCGCAAAAAAACCCTCTCTCATGTGTTAAAGCGACTAGTGCTTGTCCGGCAGCGTGCAAGCCAAACTGACATGCTATTTCAGAGTGAATATTAGAGTTGCATGATAAACAATATAGGGAGAGGCTAAGCGAAATATCGGTATTTACTTGTGTTTTGTTGTTAAACTAATTAAAATCTGCATTATCGATGCTGTAAAAGGACCTTATGAAACTGAAAATAGTCTTATCAATCTTTCATCGGAAGATTTTAGTGGCTGAACAACACTTCTGTGAAGATATAAGCCATTTGTAACAACAACATCTAACTTTACATCAGCTTTGCGTGAAGCTAAAACAGTTTTAAAACAGAACATTACCTGTCTAAGAGAAATCCTTCAGCCATGGTGTCATCCTTTCTCCAGCATGCAAAGGTAACTCCAATATTCATTCGGGTTTTTAAAAAGTTTTGATTCAGCATGCTTTTACAGATCGTGCACGCCTGCTCTCTCGTGAACGCGTAGCGGTCGGCGAAGCTGCGTACAAACGGCTGCGCAGTTGTTCAAATCTGCATTTGCTGACAGACAGATTGGGCTACTTATCGGAATTATCAGAGATGACGGTCCGACTCTATTTAATTGGATGAACATTTTTTTGTTTTATGCCTTACCCAAAATATAAAAATACATTTAAATACATTTAGATCATTTACTTTAATCATTACTATTAGACTGTGAAGAGACTTTCAACCAGCTCAACAACAAATGCTTCTGAAGATAATCACCTACTGCACCTTTAACTGTTTTGTGTTGTGTTTGACCTTGCTCAATGACCATGAGCAAATAGGTTGTGGTTCAAATTGTTGCATTGGAATTGGCTCTTATTTCACATGACTTTTCAGGACTCAATATTAAGGATTTACCAGTTTTTTTTTCTGGCGACACAAAAAATAAATAAACAAATACTAATTTACAAATTACAAAATACAAATTACTAATTACTTCTTAGCTACAATTTTTAATCAATTAAATTTTTTAAAAAACAAGCTAAACATAGCTGTTTACATGCACTTTTTATTCAACAAAATCTTTCTTTAAAAAAAAAAAAAGATCTAAGATTTTACAAATAACTATTATCATGTATCTAAAACTATGCACAGTAGTCTGTCCAGGCTAAAGGTCCAGTTAAACCACCCGTCAACTTTACATAAATGGGAAGTTAATCTCCTATTAAAGCAATGTCATTGTAAAGGATGATAATTAAACCATATATATATATTAGTATATATTTAAGTGTAAGCAAAGGAAAGCATACCGTGTCATAATGAAAGTATGATCATGTGCACACAGTTACCGTTAGCCCTATTAATAATCTGTTCAAAGAATGATAAAAAGTGAACTGCTGCTGCCTACAAAAAACATCTAAAGCTTTTAAAAGCAGCAGGACTGTGAGTGCACGAGCTTTGTCCAGTCTGTTTCAAAGAGAACTGATTGCACAAATTTGCAGACATTTTTGCAACCCAGGCTCATTCTGAAAACGTAGTTCTGTGGAAGTTTCTGGAGGCCGCGAAATACGTCCCGGGAGGTATGTGTTTGTGCAGTTTTTGTTTTTCGCGAATCCGCGAGAGGCCGCTGTGTGCGCTTTTTCGTATCTCGAATGTCTCTCACGAGTGCCGTTCGCGCCTGTGCTGTTCTTAAGTGAACCCACCAGGGGCCGCTGTCTGACTGACTGAATGATTGACTGCGCGACCGGCCAATCGGCCGACCCACCCACCTCCTTCCCTGAACCCAACCAATTTTACCGATTGACCTGCCCGCCCGCTCACTTCCCTAAACCCGAGCAACAATTTAGAAAAGCCCTCGTCTGATTTTTTTACAACGTTTTCAGATTTCACCACGTTCTCACCCTGTTATGAACTTGTTCGCTTTATTTTTTGGATTCTGTTTTTGTCTTACCTGATTTTTGGAACCGCTCTTCCCCGGACTCAAACCCGGTCGCTGTGGTCAACTCCTCCTCTCTGCATCTGAAGTCTGCTGACGTACACGATGAGCTGACTGGACAAACTGGTTGTGGCGGGAAAGCCCTCCACACGGAGGTAAGCGGTCAGCCGGTAAGCGGAAAGGGAACAGCATCATACCGCCCTGTAGCGTTCGCTTAAAAAAATTAAATGCAGCCATACGTACCTCCCGGGACGTATTACGCGGTGTCCAGAAATGTCCACGGGACTACGTTTTCAGAATGAGCCTGGGTTGCATGTTTGCTTCGCACAAGGAAACGGGAGTGTGTAAGCTTTTTAAACTCTCGTGCCCATCAGCCGTGTGCGTGATACTAAAGCCCTGATCAGTGAGAAAGCCTTGAAAAAGCCTACGTCTCACCATGCGCGTGATCATCCTCTCATTCGTTATTCACCTGCTTTCTTTTTCAGTCGTGCTGCTTCTCGATAAACTACAATTAAAAATGATTTTTAACCAGAAAAAGTGGCTAGTGGGAGCGGCTCTCTTACCTTAAAATCTACCCGCATTTGGCAGGTTGGCAGGTGTTAATGTCAAGCCCTGGTTGTGGATATTTTATTTGAGCATTTTTAATAGTAGAATTATTATTTTTTTGGAGGAAACGACACTGGAATAAAACTAATTATGCTTTACTTGAACACAAATACATTCATATGTACATACAAAGCAATACACTTACAACCCAAATCAGAACAAGTTGGGACAGTATGGGAAACCGTAAATAAAAAAAGAAAGTAGTGATTTCCAAATTTACTCTGACTTGTATTTCACTGCAGACAACAAACATTATTCAATGTGTTCCTTATGATTTCTATAGTCTTTTCCTAAATGAGAATCCCATCTGCCTGTTTACATGACAGTCGCATTGTCACATGTCCCATCTATAGCTGATTTATTTCCACATATGAAGGAGACCTGAAACCCACCTCTGAATATCCGAATGCATGCCTTTTTTTCGTGTTTACAGTCAAAGATCAGGGGTCCGTTGTTCGTACGTGGATTACTTAGTTAGCTGCATTTGGTTATTGACGATTTGACACGATCCAGGATCGTTTCGTTCTTTAAAGCTGATCCGAGAGTTGTTGTCATAGCAACAGTTCTGCTAGCTCAAACCTGGTCGGAAGCAGGCTCGATTCACATAAACAGAATTAGATAGGCTCAGTTTAAGCAAAGATAATACTGAAAGTATGTACCAAATTCTGATATTTTTATGTTTTATTTAATATTATATGTTTATTTAATATGACGTGATGTGATGCTTCATAAAAGTTGCAAGCGTCTTTACCAATATCCAAATGTTTTTGTAAACATCCAGTTATTCTTTACACCGATTAAAAACCGGCTACTATAATACTATAATAAGAAAAATCCGCTCTAACTGTAAAACTAAATAAACTGCTCTTGACACATGAAAGGGCCAAGCATGCAGCCCACAACAAGGTGTAAAGTTATTGCATGTCACATTTGACAAACCGTGTACTGTGATTTAATTTAGCTCACATGGATGATTGAATATTAATCAGATGATGTCATTACGCTGCTGTGCCGTCAGCCAATCATTGCATTGCTGATCATGATTTCGAGGATGGATAGATCAGTCCTCTACAACACACACAGCGATCTCAGATCAGTTCATCCAGACATTTGATTCACGAACTTGTTTGAAGAACCAAATTAGCCAGAAATCAGTTATCAAGAGGAACAGATCCAGGATCTGCCAAATCATCTTAGATCATTTAAGCAAGCTACGAAGAACGGACCCCTGATCTGATCTGTGTCACATATGAGCAAAAAAACGAAATTGGGTCACGTTTAACTGGCAGTGTAAACGGTGTCATATTGTCTGCAAAACAAGTCCAAGTAAATTTAGAAACCACTTCTTTCTTTTTTATTTGTGTTTTCCGTACTGTCCCAACATTTTCTGATTTGGGGTTTTACAATAACAAAGTTCAAACAAAAGTTAGAAGATTAACAACAGAAACTAATTTCCAATCACAAAAAATGGAAACCTTTGTCCTTCTGATAAGTTAAACTATAATGCTCTAAATGACAATACTTTTTATTTTAATTCAGCAAGAAACGTTATCAGGGCTTTATAGAATAAAACAAATATTATATAAAGATATTTTTCCGATGCTGTGTATTATTTAAACACTCTGGCATACACACACACACACACACACACACACACACACACACACACACACACACACGCAGTCCCTGAAACAAACATGAAAGAAAACTGTAAGTGATTATAAAAACTTAGCTATACCTGCAGTTCTTCACACACACATACATACACATACACACACACACACACACACACACACACACACACACACACACACACACACACACACACACGTTTTGTTTATTTTCCATTCATTTCATACTGTCCAAAGCGTATATAGTATTGCCCTCACCCCACCCTACCCCTAAACCCAACCATCACAGGAGTCAGTGTCCAGCTTTACTCTCTGATTAAACTCATCCTCTGTGATTTATAAGCATTTTGAGAAATGAGGACGTCACCAATGTCCTCATATTTCACCTCCTTTTTGTAATACCTGTGTCATACCCATGTCATTATACAGATTTGTGTCCTGATATGTCACAAAAACACACACACACACACACACACACACACACACACACACACACACACACACACACACACACACACACACACACACACACACACATACACACATACATAAGTCCCTGAAACAAAAATAAAAAAAGTAAGTGAATTTAAAAAGTTAGCCATACCTGCAGTTCTTCACACACACACACACACACACACACACACACACACACACACACACACACACACACACACACACACACACACACACACACACACACACACACGCAATATTTGTTGTGTTAAAATGAGCCAGAATTGATTAAAGTTTCACAACATTTACGCGCTTCAAGAATACTAAAGTCTGATGTTCAGATGCTGTAGAGTCTGTGCTGCAGTCTGAAAGAGGACACATGACTTGTGTTTATAAGCTTCTGAGAAACACAAACGCACTCAATATTATTAGTATTTCGAAACACTACGAATCCGGGAAACGTGCAACCTCCATAGTCATGAGGCACATCGATGTTATCTTATTTTTTTACACATGAATATGTATGTATGTTTATGAACATTGTGCTCGGTAATTTGCATTGTGGCTTGAAGAATCTGAACACTAATGAACTCTGGACACTAAGCATCACTGCGTTTCTTTGCCTGTGCACATTCAACATTTATTCTTTATTATTGCTGAAAATATGTAACCTGAGATTTGATAAGTAACTGCAGTAATGATATAATGACGATGTACTGCTGAAGATGTGGACAATGCATTCCTGTATGAAAATAAACGTGTTTACTTTTTAAATCAGAGTCTGGTCTTATTTTTTTTCTGCAGAAAACCAGTTCAATCATTACTTGTCATCATTGCTCTTTGCTCTTGGTGTGGTTAGCTTTCACACTGCAAAGTTTCTAATCGGACCAAAAGAGCAAAAACAAGTCACGTGTGAGTAAACTCTCCTCACATTGGTCAGAGTGTCAGGGTTTATTTTGCAGCGTCTCGCTAAGCTGTCAGGAGAGGTGGTGGTTTGGTGGTGATTGACAGGGTGTGCGTGCGCGGTGGGGAGGGGTGGGAAAGGTGCGCGACGATGCCTATTTGAGGACCGGGAGAGAGACCGAGATTACCGGGAGATCATCACTCGTTTGCGGGCATCCGGAGACTCGCGAAACTTCCCGCGTTACTCATAATTCTCACTTCATATAGCCGTAAGCCTATTACATATCCATAAAACACTGTGATGTAACCGCGCTCGGATCAGATCGCTTTCTCACTGCAATCGAACCGCTCCAGGGTTTGTTTCAATCGAGCCGAGACCACCTCACTCAAGCGATCTCGGAGCGATTACTTTGGCGCGGAACCGAGCGCGATTGCCCTGTTCACATATGCCAAAGGAACCGCGCTAACTGGGCAAACGAGACACGTTCCAAAACAAAAGTGTAGGTGTGAAAGCAGCCTAAGATCAGTGTAGCTGCAGTAACAGTACTGTGTCCAGATATGAACCCTGAATGATA